TCTCTCTATCTCTCTCTCTCTCTCTCTCTCTCCTCTCCCTTTTATTATTAATATAGTTATTAAATAATTTGTTAATAATATTTTATACTATAAACAGTAAAGTTTTGCAAAGAACTAATATGTATTTATTGTAATGAACTTATAACTAAGGAAACCAGTCATGTTTTTTATGTATATTACAGTATAATTCATGTGTGTATTTTTAGTACAAATGCAATATTCATAATCTCATATGCATATTAATAAATATTTCTTTACGCTATAATATATATAAAGTTGCACCAAAGGTGCATTTTTGTGGTTTCGCTACTTATAACAAATTATGAATGTTAGAGCTAAAATCATCAGAAAATCACCATGGGACAATTCAAATTGGGTTCAAAAGCTAATGTTTTCGTAAGTATTTTAAATATATTTATTTTGACTAATGCTTATGTTATAGCGAGTGATAGTTTAGATGTGTTAGAACACAAAAAAAATTAAAAAAAATTATTTAAAATGGTGATTTTAAATAATGATTTTAATTGACTAAAGTGATAATGTATATTTAATAAATAATGCACAAAATTAGAACTGAATTGTTTTATTTTTCGCTGTAACGTGTTTTAATAAGGTTGGAATTTTTTAATTCATCTCGTCGATACCTTTCTTTTGATATATTATATGATATGTTTATTCACATAGTTTAAGATCAGTATGGTATGGTGTGGTCGACACCAAACCCGAGGTTGTCTACCCATAAGAATTATACCATACAACTCCTATGAGAGTTTACTTTCATCCTATAATAAAAATTCCCGGTTTCCAACTTAGCATTGATTAACATTACGTCGGCCAATAGCCATACAAGTCAACTAGAAAATATTATGAAAATAATAGACAGCATAACCAACCCGATATAATTATTTTTATTATTCCCTATCTACAGTATATGAGATTAAATAGTATATTTTAGCTTTATATAAGCTTAAATATTTAACCTTTATATAAAATTAAAATATAAATATATATTTATGACGATTGTACTAACCTCAGGTGGATGTATGCACTATTTGTGAAAGGTATGCGAAATAATCGTTTGGAATTTGAAGATATGTACCGCTGCTCGGAATACGACACCTCTAAGTATTTGGTTGAATGTTTAGAGAGGTTGTGTACAAATATTATTTATTTTATTTTTAATTAGCATATTATTAGTTTTATAATTAGTCAAGTTTTCATGTTCATTTCATAGTTATGTTTACTTTATTTTAATTATAATTATTAAGAAATTGGGATATTGAAGTAAAGAAAACAAACCCTAAATTGTATATTGCTTTATTAAAGACGTTTGGTAAATTCCATATTATTCCATTCACATTTGTTTTATTTATCGTACGTTATAATATATATTAAATTAAATATCATTATTATATTAAATTATTGCAACATGTTTAACCATACTACAGTTTATACAATCAATGTAAACATCATTATATTTTAATACAAACATTTTATTAATATTTACATATGATAGGAGTGTGTAGTCCGTTTGGTACAACCTATATTACTTGGATATGTTATAGATTATTTTGCTGGCAATGATCTTATAAGATATGACCATGCTTGTATAGCTGCCGGGGGTGTGTGTCTGTGCACCATATTATACATTGTAGTTGAGAGCACCAGTTCGGCACGTTTTAAGCAACTTGGAATGCGAGCCCGTAGTGCCTGCTGTACTCTAATGTATAAAAAGGTTAATCATAATTTTATAAATGTACTACAGTAATAATATACTAAATTTAATAATATAATGTTAAAAATAGTCTCTCAAACTGAACCAGTTATCAATGGGAAAAACTACATTAGGTCAAATAATAAACTTAATGACCAACGATGCAAATAGATTTGATTATGTAAAATTTATATACTTATTCCAATCAATTCAATTATGTAATGTTATTTTGTATTAGTTTGCATTATTAGCCAGTTATTTTATAATATCGCCTATTCAAACGGTCATTATTATATGTATAATGTACGCATATATGGGATGGACAAGTTTAGTGCCAGTTGGTTTAATAATTATACTTATTGTATTACAATTGTTCATGGGCAAAATGTTTTCAAAAGTTAGGTAAGTAAGGGGTAATATATATTTTATAATAAAATATTAATAAATGCAATTCATACTATTAATTACTCAGACTAATGACGGCTAAACTCACTGATAAGAGGCTACAATATATGGTTGAGGTCATATCTGGTATGCATATCGTTAAAATGTATTCCTGGGAACAACACTTCGCAGACCTCGTGGCTGAGGCACGAAAGTAAGTGAGCAGTACATTACCATAGCATATTTAGGTTATATAAACTTGTCGATGACATTTGCTCGAAAGACAGGAAGTGGCGTGTATACAAAGATCTTGTTTTCTAAAGGCAATCAATATGTCGCTGTATAGTATGGCAACCAAGATTATTTTATTTTCAAGTTTTATCACCTTTGTACTCACTGGTGGTGTACTGAACGCTAAGACTGTATTCGTTTCAATGATCCTATTTAATATCGTAAGAAATAATATGACCTGGTTCTTCCCAAAGGCAATCACGTTCGGCGCCGAATCATTAGTTTCTTGTAATAGAATACAAGTAATATTGACCATGGTGCAAAAGATTTAACAATTATATGATTTAATTAATATTCTTTTAGAAATTTATAGAGTTAAAAGATATGCCAATAAAATCCATTCAAAACGCAAATAAATTATCTAAAATTAAAATTAGTTGTAAACAATCGCCCGAAGTGTCCATTAATAACATAACAGCCCACTGGAGTGATGTATGAAATATTATATTTTCTTTATAACCATGATAATGATATTTATTATACTATAAATTTTGTAACGGCTTTACATAATACCATATTATTAATTATTATTAATAGGAGAGCGCGTATCCAATTCTTCAAAATATATCGGCACAGTTAAATGCCGGGGATTTATTGGCTGTCATCGGACCGGTGGGGGCGGGAAAGGTACGCAAACTATTGGGTAATAGACCATAATTAAAATTAATTCATTAAAACTATTTAGAGCTCACTATTGATGACAATTCTGAAAGAAATGCCGGTTCTATCGGGAAGTATAGAAACTGTGGGTTCGATAAGCTATTCCTGTCAGGAGTCTTGGAATTTCAATACTAGTGTCCGAAATAATATACTCTTTGGAAACGAATACAACGAATTCCGATATAAGCGAGTGTTAGAGGTGTGCGCTTTGGAGCGAGACTTAGAGATATTCCCGTTCGGAGACAAGACATTAGTCGGTGAGAGAGGAGTACAGCTATCGGGGGGACAGAAGGCCCGCATCACGTTAGCCAGGTTTTTATGTCAAATTTAATAGCTTTATACATATTAACTATAATTATAACCGTTATTGTATTTAAAATCATGCGAATATTTTATCAAACACAAATCAAAATAATTACCATTGAATAAAACAATAATGATTTGTGGTTATCATAATTATTTGTTTTTACGTAGAGCTCTGTACCGAAACTCAGACATTGTATTAATGGACGACCCGTTGAGTGCTGTCGACACTAGTGTTGCCAAACATATATTTGATAAGTAATGCAATTATTGTTATAATTATGATTACAAATAAGTCTAACATATAATGTATTGATATAATGAACACCAGATGTATAGTCGACTACTTGTGCGACAAAATCCGTATTCTAGTCACACATCAAATCCAATTCATACGAAAAGCGACACAAATATTGGTTTTGAACGACGAGGGAAAGTGTCTGGNAAAAGCGACACAAATATTGGTTTTGAACGACGAGGGAAAGTGTCTGGGATTGGGATCCTATGATGAGCTCCAGTCCCGGGGTTTAGACTTCATGTCTATTCTTAGCGATCAGGAGAGGGAAGCGGACGATAAGTTATGCGCAACGAATAAAGAACTGAAGCGAACGTATACTCAAAATAATTACGAAAGTAGAACAAAATTCCGGGATAATTCAGTGACAGAAAATTTAACGGAAATTAATGTAATTAATATTTATAATAATTTATTTGATTTGAAAATATTTTACTCTGTTAAGAATGACGGGACGGACAATGAACATAGAATAACTGAGGAGAAACGTGAAACCGGTTCAATATCTTGCAACGTATATTGCACATTTATTAAGGCAGGCGCCGGGCCTATACTAATTTCCACCACGCTTTTATTTACAATTATAGCTCAAACTATATATCACGGATCGGACTATTTTCTAACGCAATGGTTAATTAATTAAAATCATTGATCATGATTATTATTTTCTAATATTAATATCTTAAATTCCTACAGGACTGATAAAAATCAAAACACGGATAACATTAACACTTGTGAGCAAACAAGAGATGTGATTATCTACTCCTCAATGATGGCCGCGCTATTCATCGCATCCCTATTGAGAGCCATCACATGGTTTGTGATGTTTATGAGAGCTTCAGTTAATCTCCACAACACTATATTCTATCGTCTATTACGGGCCCCGATATCTGTGTTTGAGAAAAACCCAATCGGTTTGTTATTTCATGAAATTAATTAACACAATAATTAATGTTTATTATAATCAAAAGGTAGTATATTAAATCGTTTTTCAAAAGACCTTGGTACAATTGATGAACAATTACCAAGTACAGCGTTTGACTTAAACCTGGTAATTTATTATTTTACATAATATAAGCTTGTATTTTTCTTAATTAAGTATCTTTGTTTATCATAATAATTATTTAGTGTATGACTCAAAATATTGGTGGAATAACAATGATCACAATCGTTAACCCATACTTGATCATACCAGCATTTTTCTTAATTATTATGCTTTTAGCAGCTAGAGCTATTTACATCAAATCAGCTAGGGACATTAAACGAGCTGAATGTTTGAGTAAGTTTTGATTAAATACAATAAATATTTAATATTAAGAATACCAATTTTTGCATTAATTTATAGCCCGGAGTCCAGTGTTTTCACACGTGAGCACTACATTCAATGGGTTGGCCAGTGTTAGGGCCTTTGAGGCGCAGGAGATGTTTGAGAAACAATTTTACGTGTACCAAGATGATCACTCGGCCACCTGCATGCTTGTCACCCATGCTTGCCATGCATTTGCTATCATTATAGACGGACTGTGTTTTGTTTATATAGTAATAATATTTGCAGTTTTTATGACATTTCCCGGTCACTTAGGAGCGGGAGAGGCGGGACTCGCTTTATCGTCAGGTTTGTTTTACATCACAAATATTGTCAAATCTAACTAGGTAAAATTTTTTAAAAATTATGAGAATCAAATTTAAGTCATTTCAAATTTTTGTTAATCATTGCGAGTATTGTGCACCGGGCGAGTGCTTTTATTTTAATACATACTTTTTAATTAACCCTAGAAGCTTAAACTGGGAGGATAATCTCCCATTTGCACTTTGAATTCCAATTAAAAAACAATAAAAAGTGCTAGCCAGCAAAAGAATTTCAGTAATGTCTCATAAATGATGAGATTTATAAATGTATAAATTTATATAATTTTAAAACTTAATTATCATGGTCAAATTAACGTTTTGGTTAGTATTCTCCCAGTTAATGCGTAATGCAACTTTTTTCACTTTTCACAACTAGCTTTAATGTTGACGGGATTGACTCAATTTGGTGTAAGGCAATCGGCAGAGTTGGAGAGTCAGATGACTTCAGTCGAGCGCATCATTGAGTACTCAAAATTACCACAAGAGGCGGCCCTCACAGCACATGATAGCCATAAACCCCCTCCCGATTGGCCACAGAAGGGAGAGATAGAGCTCAAGGATATGAGTTTGTGTTACGAGGGATCAGACAAACCGGTGCTCAA